CTCGTACATACATAAATAGAGCACACAGGTTTTATATCTACTTTTCCTGAGTTTTTAAAGTCAAAATTTCGTAAAGAATACTTCACAAAAATTAACATTTTTGCAATTCAAAGCTTAAGTTTCAAGGCTTATTTTTAAAACGGTAAGCTAAAACCATAAAGTGGTTTCGTTCCCCTTCTCTGCATTTCGTGGATAAAATAAGGAGCAGAAAAATATAAATATAAAATCCCAAGCATGGGAAGGCAGCGGCCCAAAGGCCTGGCCTAACCCGCTCGACAGCAGGGAAGACCTGCCCGGTGAACAGCAAGGTTGCGACCCGTTGGGGTCCTGAGGTCGCCTTGGGTCGTACTGACGCCTTGGAGAGGCAGCTAAGCAACATTGCGGCTGCCCGACCTTTTGGCAAAGCAGAAGGGGAGGTTGGGCCACCGACCAGCGCCAAAGCTAAACGTTTCACGAACACCGAAAAGAGGAATGCAGGGCACATACTCCGTCGGCAGTACGCGAGCATAGAAGCCAGCCCTTCAGAGGACTGGTTGAAGATGGTGAAGTGGGCCTCGGAAGTGCTTCCAAACTTTAGTCTGGAACCTCACAGACCATCCCTGCAAGCCAAAAATCAGCGCTCGGAAGAGACGCCTGGACCAGCTGCAAAGCGATCCCGGATACTGCCAAATGTGTCCTTCGAGCAGATTGCCAAGGAGAGGACGCTGATAGGCATCATCGACAAAGGCAACGGATGGCAGAATCCCAAGGAGCCAGTGGAAGTGGGTGAAAGCGGCATTGGCCGACCGCTGCTTCTAGCTCCTGGAAATCGACCCCGGCCCACCTCCAGTCTGCAAAGACATGGGATGGTTCCAGGGCCTGCGCCTGCGAAGACGAACGCTTTGTGCAGCTGTACAAAGCAGCTGTAGCGCAAGTTGGGGAAGTCTACCCAGGAGCGAAACTTGTCGCAGTCGACTGGAGCGAAGTGCCGAGTAGACCGAGGCCGGAATTTGGGTGCCGGCCTCTATAAAAGAGCTAGAACGCATCCTGCAATTGTTGCAGCGACGCAACCCGAACCTTCCAACAGCAGATTGGAATATATGCAAAATATGCAAGGATCCCTGTGAGGCTCCTTCAGATAAATCTCCACCACTGTAAAGCAGCAACTGCTGCCCTCTTACTACGCTTGGAATCGAGCGGAGGCGACGTAGTCCTAATCCAGGAGCCTTGGGTGGTTGGAGACAAGGTCTGTGGATTAGCTACGAAGGACTTCAAGCTGATTGTAGCACCAAAGGAAGGTAAAATTCGCTTTTTAGCTAGAAAGCACATAAACATCTTTCTGCTTCACAATTCCGCAAGATGACCAGCGAGAGGTCAAACACAGGCCTACTGATAGGCTGCGACGACAACGCCCACCAAACCCAATTGGGAAGCTCGGACATAAATATAATTGGTGAGTCACTTTACAGCTTCATCCTAAACTCGAATCTGGTCCTTTGTAATCACGGAAATGACCCCACTTGCATTATAAAGAACCGACAGGAGGTCATAGACCTTACCCTAGTGTCCCATATCATACTAGGCTTAATTAAGGGTTGAAGGGTCCTAGAAGAACACTCCTTCTCCGACCATAGGTACAAAGAGACGATACCATCTCTCGAATGCCGAATACCTAATAGTTATATCAACCCCAGGAAAGCCAACTGGGAGGCAAATTGTAAAACCCTGAAAGAACTTCTTCCCCCAACAGCACCAACATGTCCTGATACACAAGACGACCTTAACAGTCTTGTAAATAGATTCACGGAGGCATGTAACAAAGCCTTCAAGGCTGCGTGTCCTTCCATCAAATCGAGAGGGAAAAAGAAACCCCCTTGGTGGTCAAAGAACATTGATGTCCTACGTAGAAGCTGCAGGGCTAATTTTAATAAAGCCAGAAACAGCAACGAGCTGGGCTGCAAGGTAGTGGCATATGCAGACAACGTTGTCCTAATGTTCACGGGAAAATTCCCCAAACACTCTGTGATCTTACGACCACAAAATTTGACCAATTGTCAGAATGGACAAGATCGTGCGGACTGGGTGTAAGTGCCTCGAAAACGGAACTTGTACTATTCACTAAAAAGTATCAAACTCCGCCACTCAACCCCCCAACACTAAAGAAATGTAGGTTAACCTTTAGCGACAGTGACAATTGGCTTGGGTTGGTAATAGGCAGGAAGTTAAGTTGGAACCTAAACTCCAAAGAAAGAGTGAAGAAGGCCACAATGGCCCTATACACTTGCAAAAACGGCATCGGACTAAAATGGGGCATGAACCCACGTATAGTTCAATGGATATACCAAGCTGAAGCCAAACCAACACTGCTCTACGGAGTCACAGTATTGTAGCCGGCTCTGTCAAAAAAGACTATCACCGCTCAACTGGCAAAAGTCCAACGAGCGGCCACTCTTTGCATCAGTGGCGGTTCCACCATGCCTGTAGGGTATAGACCTTGCAGGGAAGGAACAGGCAGTAAGGAAGTAATACGACTGCGAGACTCGGACCAATGTACGTCACGACCCTATGGTCTCTCGGCGATCTTTAGGGACACTAACATAGTACTCCATAGAACTGATTATTGCGTTCCAGGAGAGTACAAAGCCACTCCCTTCGAGGCTATGATCCCCAGCAGAGAGGAATGGCTCGAGGGCACACCTGGCCCAAAGGGCGCCATAAACATCTTTACAGATGGATCCAAAATAGACAACAAAGTGGGCGGAGGAATTTACTCCGGGCAACTAAAAATGAGGCGATAAATGAGACGCCTTCAGGAGATCTCAGTCGCTGCTATGCAGCCAGGCGACACTGAAATCACTAAACGCGATTTTGTCGAATCCGACCACAGTGGTCAACACAGCTGTCACAAATCTCTACATGAGATGGCAGGGCAATATGTTATTAGCCTAATATGGGTCCCGGGACACCACGACATTGAAGGCAACTGCATAGATGAGTTGGCCAGATCCGGCACTACACTCCCCCTTAATCAATATAAGGAGGAAATACGTATGCCATGCCAACTTGCAAGCTCAAATAAAAGAGTACCATACCCTGCAAACAAACCACAGATGGGAAATGGTCCCAAGATGTCACATCACCCGACAAACGTCGCCAGACATCTGGAAAAAACGCACCGCTGAACTATGCAAACTCAGCAGACATAGGTGCAGCCTATCATCCTAGTCATTCGCTCTCTCACAGGGAATTGGCTGATAGGCAACCACGCAAATAGGCTGGGTGCCCCCTATAACGACTTCTGCCACAGCTGTAGAGACGAGCATGAAGAGGAAACAGTCGAACATCTGTTCTGCTCCTGCTCGGCTCTCAGTAGAAGGAGACTAAGATATCTGGGCTCACCTTTTCTTAACGACATTTCAGAAATGGCTTTTAAAGGCCCTAGGAAGATAACAAACTTTGTGAGAGCATCTGGATAGGAGCACTGCTGACACCGTGACAAACGGGAGGAGAAGAGGAATAGATCCACTCGGAATCACAACGGGCCAAAACCGGCCTAAGTGTTTCGGTGATAAGTGATAACGCAGCCATTTTTTTGCATTATAACACCAAACAAGTTTTCTAGGACGTCCTGGTTTAAGCAGTATGTCATGATAACTTGAAGCTTGTCTTTGTCTTGAAGGTCGTAAAAGAAAAGCTTCAGCGCTATACATACGTAAGTGTGTACACTACATATGTAAGTGTTGGAAAGTGCTGATTATGTATTCTTTTACAACAGGTTTTCTCATTGCACATAAACAGAGAAAACAAGAAGGGACGTGTGAGACGCTTCTTATGCGTCACAACTTTTATACGCGGCACTCAGTACTACATCTGCACCTTAGCGGTATTTTGTCATATTTAACATTTTTTCCTCATCTCTACATCTACAACACTTCTCACACCAACACGCTCCTTTAGATCGCTCCCCTTCCCTAGACCCACACACTGCAGACTCGCGGCTGACGCAGTGGCCGCACACAGCAGAAGCAGAGTGTGAATGAGAGAATGTGCAATAAACAAATATAAGTTGCGGGACGGGGTAGGTTTAGGCACTGCAAATTAATTTCTTCATGGTGGCTATAATAATGATCCAATCGGATCCTAATTTGGTGATCTGATAGATATGATCATTCCTTACGGAATGGCGTTTTTAGTTTTCATTTACCTTTAAAATTGTAGATTTTCGAGGTTTTCGCCCTTTTGCGGTGGCGGAAGGGGGCGTGGCTCATTTTTTAAATACACTTGTAGCAGTGTGAGCATACAGAAGTCTGGATGCAAATTTTGGTGGCTCTAGCTTTTATGGTCTCTGAGATCCAGGCGCTCAACAAGACGGATGGATAGACGGAGGGACGGACAGAGAGACAGACGGACGGACAGACAGACATGGCTCAATCGACTCGGCTATTGATGCTGATCAAGAATATATATATACTTTATGGGGTCGGAAACGTTTCCTTCTGTGTGTCACATACATCCACTTTGTGCACAAATACAATATACCCTATTTACACTTCGAGTACCGGGTATAAAAATGCTCGAAAACAAAAAGCCTGCGGTTCTGTCGCCGAATAGTTACTATGTCACACTCGTCACCTCATAAAGGTGCTATCGTGAATAAAATGAGTTAAATTTAATTATGTTATTTATCGTGTACTGAAATAATAATTAGGCTTACAGTTAACTCATACTTATTTAAGGTTGTGCTATAAATGTTTGAAAAGAAAACACATTATGACACAATAACATAATAACACATGTCTATGCAGTTTTTAAAGATCTTTACATTTATGTTTTATTTACCAATTAAATAGTTTTTGAATTATTTACAACTTTTTCTAAATCACTTAGCGGAATATCTTTATTAAAATTGTATTCTTGTATGTTTACACAAACAGCTGAAACCGATAACTACGGTCGTCTCATTAAAAAGACTTGGTCACACATATTTCAGTGCCAGAACACTTAAAAATAATAATCTCTATTTGTTTGATATTATCGGTAAGGTGTAGGTTAGGTTAGGTTGAGGCGGTTGTCGTGATTTCACAGTCAAACTTTCTAGCTATATCTATTTATCTGTATACATAGTTCCGAGAATCTTGTCATCGGTTATTAATGTATATTAATGTTTTAACATAGAACATAACATATTTACCTGAATTCAATGAATGCCGGCTGATGTAACTGAAGTTCAAACGTGTATTGCCATTACGATTTAGTTGTTATTCTGTCTTATGGTTTCATCATCTCATCTGAAATCTATATTGTGAATTTATCATTCGTAGCCAAATACAATGTTTTCACGGTTGAAATTTATGAGTTTGGCTTCGCAAAGGACGACTGTGCTGCGTGCTCAACGGTCAAGAACCAATTGCAAATCTGTGTCCAAATTTGATGACATGTTAGACGGTGAAAATCTTAAGGATACGAGTTTAGCGTCCTTAGCTAAGCTGAAGCCCACATTAAATACAGTGGCATGAAAACAAATTTAATGAAGGCAAGCTGTATTATGTTTCCAATGTGAACGCATTGAACGGATACCTGACATTGATTTTCTCAATTAATTTTCGGACTGGTCTTAATCGCTCTGTAGCTACGTTCATGAATGCCATGACGGTCAAGATTACACAATATATAATTTATCAACCAAGAATGAAGTGGACTTTAGGAACTTACAGGAGCATATTTACTTGGATGCAGTTTTCAAGGTAGTCCGCATAAATTAAATCATACATAAATATTGATAATTCTTCATTATAACCTTGCGTATTTGGATTTTCTTAAAGAGGGCTGGGCTTTCATAATCGGCAATCCGAACTTGTTACCAAGGTTGTGGTTTATAATGAGAAATGTTTTTGGACAGAATCTTCCCAATAATTTCTTACCCGACCACACATATGGACATGTATACGGTGGAAATCCATTGGATATACCTTAATTAACGCACACGGACTTGATTGAATTCCATCGCAAATACTATCATCCAAAGACGCTCGAGCTTGATAATATTTATCTCTACACACCAGAATAGACAACTCTTATAGCCGTATCCCTCTACAGCAGCGATGGTCACAACCACGATGGATACGTTTTTTGTTGTAGGACTGCAAGACCTGCTCGTTAAAGACTTCAAAAAGTTAAACGACTTCTTTAACCTAACAATATACAAAGCCATGAAGGAGGGATTTGAGTCCCAGCATGTAGAAAGTATTCTCCACAATATTGAATTGTCCGTACAACATCAAAGTCTACATTTTGGTAATGCTTTGTTATTTAACTCAACAGCACTGTGGGACCATGATGGGGATGTAGTGGGCACAAAACTAATGAAGTCGATTATGAAAAGTTGGTCACAACTTTTATACCCGGTACTCAGTAGAACATCTGTACCTTAGTGGTTTTTTTTATACCCGGTACTCGAAGCGTAAATAGTTAAATAGTTAAATATTGTATTTGTGTGAATAACGGTTGTATGTAACGCACAGAAGGAAGCGTTTCCGACCCCATAAAGAATACATATTCTTGATCAGCATCAATAGCCGAGTCGATAGAGCCATGTCTGTCTGTCCGTCCGTCTTGTTTGTCGGCTAGTTCTCAGAGACTTAAGAGCTAGAGCCACCAAATTTTGGCTCCGGACTGCTGTATGATCACACTGAAACCAGTGTATTTCAAAAATTAGCCTCGCCCCCTTCCGCCTCCGCAAAAAGGCGAAAACCTCCCAAACCTACAGTTTTGAAGATAAAAGAAAACCAAAACTAACCTAAAACTTCCGTAGGGAAGGGCCATATCTATCAGATCACCAAATTGGGATCTGATTGGATCATTATTATAGCCACAATGGAGAAATTAATTTCCAGTGGCTAAACCCACCATGTCCCGCAGCTTTTGTTGCTCTTTTTACATTCTCTCATTCACACTCTGCTTCTGCTTCACTCGGCCTCTGCCTCTGCCCTCCCCCTGCCGACGCCTCTGACGACTTTTAACCCACCCCATCCCGCAGCTTATATTGGTTTTTTTTTTGTGTGCGGGCGCTGCCTCTGCCGCTGCAGCGAGTCTGCAGTGTGTGGGTCTTTGGTGAAGGGCTTGTTGGTGTGAGTAGTGTTGTTGATGTAGATGACAGATGAAGAAAATATGTAAAATTTGACAAATTACCGCTAAGGTGCAGAGGTTGTACTGAGTGCCGGGTATAAAAGTTGTGACGCGTAAGAAACGTCTCACACGTCCCCTCTCGTTTTACAAATATCACCTACATACATCACTTCTCACGCCAACACGTCCTTTTAGCTCGCCCCCTCCCCTAGAACCGCACACTACACGAAACAGAGTGTGTATGAGAGAATGTGCAAAAAACAAAAAAAGATGCTGGGCCACTGAAAATTAATTTTTTCATTCTGGCTATAAAAATTATCCAATCGGATCCCAATTCGGGGTATGGTCATTTCCTACGGATTGGAGTTTTTAGATTTCTTTTATTTGCGGGAGCGGAAGGAGGCGGGGCGAGATTTTGAGATGCACTTGTAACAGTAAGAGCATACAGCCATCTGGGCGCAAAACTTGGTGGCTCTAGTTTTTATAGTCTCTGAGAACCAGGCGCTCAACAAGACGGTCGGACAGGCAGGCATACATGGCTAAATCGACTCGGCTATTGATGCTGATCAAGAATATATATACTTTGTAGGGTCGGAAACACTTCCTTCTGTGTTACATTTTTTCAGCACAAATATTTACTCTTCGAGTACCAGGAATCCAAACTATTCAAGAAGTTCAAACTCAGGTTTGTGAAGATAAGACCAACGAGATAACCTATTTGAAATGCCTATTTAATATAACTGGTCTCAGTGAAGATGAAGTTAAGCTCGTTCCACTATATTGCAATATTATCAATGATATGGGAACCATCAAGCATGGCTTTCGTGAATTTGACAAACTTGTGCTCTCTAAGACTGCTGGAATTGGCTTCAAGCTAAATTTCGTCGAAATTGTTGAAGATGCGAAAAGCTACCAGCTGAGCTTGATGTGGAGACATTGTGGACACATAATATTAAATTTGTATATCTTGTTTATTCCTCAGAAATGTCCATGCCCAGAAAATTTGATAATCCTGAGAATTATTTTGAGTCAGTAGTCGACTTTTTAAGTTCCTACTCTTGGGTTTATCGCAGGGCTAACACAGAATGTCTTGTTTCAATAGACTCAATGCCACAGGATTTCAAAAACTATTTTCTTGCAGTATCAAACGAAATGCTTAATGAATTTCCATTTTTTCACGAGAATTTTGACGCGTTTCCCGCATCATTATTAATTTTTCGGAAAGAACTAGCTCGTTTAACACCAGAAGAAACGTTCGAAAACATCTTTTTGGAAGCAACGGGTCGACAACCCATCAGTAAACTAAGGATACCGAAAAAAAAACAACATGAAATTAAACACTTTGCCACTCACATTAACGCTAATTGCCTAGAAGCGCAAATTGTGGTTGACTTGGGCTCAGGATTGGGCTACCTAAGTCAAGCATTATACGAACTGAATAAAAATTACTTAATACTTGGATTGGAAGCAGATAAAACACGTGTGGAGACGGCACGAAACCGGTGCCGTCAGTGCTTACCACCGGCAGCCACAAAGTCAATTAGCTACGAGCAAAAATTTGTTGACGCTAACTCAGGGGTTTATATTGACAAACACTCATTAGAACTAGCGAAAAATAACGGATGCTTGGAGGTGAAAAATATGTCAATAATAGGCTTGCATGCTTGTGCAGATTTAAGTATTAACGCAATGCGATTATTTTTGAAAATGGATCGTGTGAAAAGTATTCACATTATTCCCTGCTGCTACCACAAATTAGCTTTGCAATTTGATTGCGGGGGAACTGATAACACCGATCAGAACAATTTCGTGAATTTTCCGCTTAGCATTGCCCTGCGCAAGGCGGTGAATGCATGTAAACGAGAATTATATCTTAATCGTCCGTTTCTTAGACTAGCGTGCCAGCAAACTCGAGCTCGCTGGCGGCGAACAAGCTGTGAAGAACATGCTGAGCACGGATGTCGGATGTACATGCGTGCACTGGCGGATTCCGTTCGATACTCAAACGAATTGGTAAAACCAAGAAAGCGTTCCCTTCCGGATCATGAAAATCATTCTTCTTTTTGGGAGCTTGTAAAAAGATTTCAGTTGTTCTCAAAGAACACAGGCACACCGATGGAATGGCAACCAATACACAGAGAGCGCTTTCAAGAAATAAGCGAAAAATACACAGACAGACAAGGTCCCCGTCTAGCTGAGGGTTTGCAATGCATGCAGACCGCCATGCAGGTAACGATTGCGTTTTTGTCCTTAACTAATCCATGCAACAATAACCGACTTTAAATGTTTCTGAATTATGTAGAAGCTCTGTGAGAACGTGATATTATTTGACCGATTGTGTTATCTTCAGGAAGCTGCTGCCGAACACAAAGTGCATGTAAGGGTGCGATATGAACAATTGCTTGATGAAAAGGTATCGCCTCGATGCCATGTTCTTGTTGCCGAAAAGTTGTCCTAATGCGGGCAAAAACTTCTGGCAGTCAGTGTGCCATTTTGGTGGCCGTACGTCAGATTTTCACATGGCTTTGTTGCCTGCGCCCAGCATTAATACAATTAACTGGCACTCTGTTTTATGTTTACATTTTTATTTTAAGCAAGGATGTAGGAGGATGGCCCTTATATAAAAAGAGCACTGTCTGTTGTCATCAATTAAAATCTATACGAGCTTCGCAAGATGGTGTATGTTGCCATTGGCCTGTTCTTTTCATTTTTCATTTATTGTTTAAGTAAGCATTTTACAAGTAAGTGCTCAGTCTTTTTGCTCATTACGCCGCAGAGCGTTGGGGGAGTCTATGGTAATTAAATTTCTTGTGGCTCTAGGTATACATGACCCACATACACAAGGAAGCATGTTCATAGGGGAACTGATTCAGGAGGGAATTACATCATACAAATGTAATTGCTTTAGGTTTACCACGACAGAGCTTTAAATAAAGCCTTTGTTCCGATACCTACAGCAATATTTGCATACGTGCATAAGTAGTACTCAGAGTAATGTATAAACCCATACAAGCCATCATAATAGCAAAATGCCATAACATCAATTACATTTAAAAAAAAACACTTTGTTTTATCAACTGCGTTTATTAGGTATTATTATAAATGTTTCTTGTATGTACTGTACCTTTTTTTATAAATAAAGCGTATAATATATATGTATATGTATATTTACACAGTGAGCATATGCGCGCGTTAATTCGGTTTTCAAAATATTAAACAATTTTGATTCGGCACATACTAATTAATGTTCAAAGATAATAGCCCATAATAGTTTTTTGTTTATTGTGTATTTATATATCTAATGACAATAGTTTTAATTTGTTAAATATTAAAACTTTTTCCAACCAAATTGAAAAGTTCCAATACCTTGTGCTTATCAATTTAAATAAATCGCAAAACAGCCATTTGATAGCATGAACCGTATTAAATGTCATAGAAGAATGTGCCACTACAAGCTCTGTATGTTCGTCAATCAATCGTCAACAGTTTTTATTCTTTTGTAATTCCTTTCTTAGTTTATAGCGTTGTTTGCATCACCTGCCAAGCTCGTGGTGTCGAGACTTTCTTCAACGTCGTAGTGAAGGTCATTGCTGTGTTTGATAAATACCCATTTTGAGTGAAATGCTAAATCCCTGTAAATAAATTTCTGTAGATAAACTCACCCTTTACAACGATAGTAATTGGTTATGCCTGTGTAGACGCACGACATAAGGGATGTCCGTAATCTGCTGTCGGTGTTTGTTGTCTGTTTCTCCTTATCGCGCAACGAGTCCAGGCTGTTCTGTTCGTAGGGGGACAAGAACTCGCCGTTTCGTTTTCCATATCGAGAGCCCAGAAAAAAACGATCATTTCGTGGTACAATAATGAGACGTCGCGTTTTAGAGCTGCCCACGCTAGACGCCCCCCCGCCATCGACATCATTGCCACTGGATCGCCCATAGCGACTTCCTACAAAGAAGGCGGGCCTTTTTTGTAATGTTTGCATTGCTAAAAAGTAAAACAATTGCAAATATAATATATTAAGCTATTGGGTCAAGGTTACAGACCTCCGCCGTCCTGCCGATGCGTGTTTTCAACATACGATTGATCTGTGGGCAATGCACAAACGTTTTCAGAAAGCGCCGCGCAAATCGTAATCAATAGTACGCCCAAATAAAATTGTCGCGGATGTGTAGGGGGCTGATTCGAAATCCACATTTTGATGGCCTCTTAAAAATGTATCTGCAATAGAATAAGTTAATTGCGAGTCAGCTTAAATCTAAATAAAAATTTGGATAGGTAATTTTTTTAAATCAACATTTTACAGCCTCTACCACTACAGTGGCTGCAACGACTTAATTACACGCGATACTCGAAGAGTAAATAGGGTATATTGTATTTCTGTTAGAAAAATGTAACACACAGAAGAAAGCGTTTCGGACCCTATATAGTATATATATTCTTGATCAGCATCAATAGCCGATTCGATATAGCCTGTCTTTCCATCCGTCCATCTGGAAGCCTGTCCGTCCGTCTTGATGAGCGCCTAGATATCAGAGACTATAAAATCCAGAGCCACAAAATTTTGCAAACGCCCGCTTCCGCCGTCTCACAAACGTTCCAACTCGTTATATTTAGAACCGTATAATGTTTAATTACAAATGTCAAAACGAAGTATGCATATCGCTGAGCTCTGTTTAGGCGTTCCCACCAAAAAATTGACTCGTATATAATGAGGAATTGGATAGTAAAATATTTGATGTGATGTTAGAAGACAAAGAGCTATGCCTATAAGACACATCACGTTAAAAACAAGTACGCCTTTAAATTTACCTCCACTATTGTATATTTTATATACAATGTACTTTTACAAAGTACAGCTTGCTAGGTCTGTATAGATACGTTCATAAAACATATTTTGTGTTATTTTCGCGGGTAGAATGGGTGGCAAACATTTAAGATTTTAAAGCTTTAAGTTTTAAGTTTGTCCTTTCATGGAAAGCAACTCACAGAATGATACTTTTGGTCAAGTACATTGCGCGGCTGTTGTAATTACTTTTTCACAATAGCAATACTTCACAAAGGCAGCTTTTATTTCAGACATAAGCCAGCAGCTCATCAGCAGACCCAGTAATCAGAATTGACAAATTAACTTTGCAAACATCTTACGCAAGAGTGAAAAGCTTCATTGCGATTAACTTATTGACCAATTTTAAAACTGGTCCAAAATAATAAGGATTACTTAAGCACTCCCTTTCATTTCCGGCAAAAGCAAGTAAAGTACTTGCCAAAATGTTACTAAATAATTTGAAAGAGTGAAAGTTTTCCTTGGGTGAGTTGTTGATACTTGGGGAGAAATTGAGGCGAATCTAAGTATAAATAGTAATGCTATCAGCACAAAGCTCAGCATAAGTCAGTTTTCCTCTGAAAAATGCATTTCGCAAAAACAAGATGCTGCCAGTCAGCAATTCCTCAAATGCTTCTAATTTTTCTCACTGCTGGTGCTTGGTGTGCTGCTGACTCCAAGCCGTTGGAGAAGCGGAGTCTCGGTCTGGACGAAGCTAGCATTCCATGGGCGGCAACCAGCGGTCCGCGAGCTTTGAACGGAGGCGGATGGAGCCTTGGTTGGCCCATTTGGAGTGGGGGACACACCTCGCTGGGAATCGGGCCGACACCCAATGAAGTGGCACACGCTATTTCGGTAGCTAAGCAGGCTTCAGCCAACGTTCTTATAGCGCAGCAACATTTGCAAGCAGCTAAGGAGAACGTGCTGAATCAGCAACGCATCGCCACGGAAAGACAAACCCAGGCTGTAATACTGAAGCAAAAATCCCAGGCGGCGTCTGCGATTCAACGTTCTGAGGCGATACAGCAGCGTCTTGCTGCTTCAAAGGCAGCTGTGGCACACGCTGCTGCTCATGCAGCTGCTGCAGAAATCCAGAAAACCGAACATGAGGCGGCCAACCTTGGTCACTTCACAAGAAACGCGAATCCGGGAGCTGTTAACCCGCTCTCTGTTACTGGATCAGGAAACAATCATTTTGCGCCCTCAAATATAGAATCAATCGGATTTGGGCATTGGCTTTCTGGAAGTACCGCAGGGAAATCTGTCAATAATTGGTACTAAAGACTAAGAAGAAATCGTTAGATGAGAAACTGCTGACATTTTTTTTAATTATATAATAGTTTATATATCCTTCAGGCCTCCAGGCTTCGGCGGAACGAGTATAAATAATATATACTTACATATGTCAATAATAAACCATTTTCTTGTGCCCCATATAAATACATCATATGTATGTAGGTCCATATATGGTTGGGGTTGTTGGTGTATATGTACATACGTAGGTCATATACAATAATTCCTCAGTTTTAAAATTTATAATTTCTTGTAAATGAAAAATATTGTAATGCTAATTGATGTAATGCACCGAATTATTTACTTAAATGTGTGGTCAAATTATGCAAAATAAATTTGCATAATTGTCACCTCTAAAGATCAAAACACTGACCCACTGAGGGTATGCTTAAACTTTTGCTGTGAACACGTACATATATTAGTCCCCACACCACCCCCACTGTGTCAGCAGTCATATGTCGCACGTCAACATGTTTCGGTGAAACGCCCTTGGTCTCCCAGAGGCGTGAGGTCTTGCTGACCCTTGGAGTTGGCATTATTACAGAGGTGGTCTTCGAAAGAGCTATGTATGTACCCATCTACTATTGTATCGTACTATTTTCTGTAGTCTGCAACACCTGCTTCATTAAATGTGTGGTCATTGGGGCATGCTTTCTACTCATATTAACCCTTCTTTTGAGGGAGTCTGCGGTCTACTGATGTTTGATGGTGTCATTTGTAACCGGACCACAGCTGATGTTCGTCGAGTGTGCTCTCTACGAACACTCATTTGCCTTATGAAGGTGTTGTTTCACTTTGTTGTACTCTGTAATTTCGATATGTAGTGCACTGAATGCCAACATTTTTATGTCAGTTCGTTCCGAACTAATGGTTAGCTCTGATTTTTGCAACTTTAAATAAGTTTTTAAATAGTTTTAAATGAAAGCTCCTTAAATCCAACAACATTGGCAAGCGCCAAGACTGACATCTTTCTATATCAGACTTTAACACACTTTTTTTTTTAAATGTACATACTTACTTATGTATTTACATAGTATTTACCTAGCGAAGTATGTAATATAACATTATTAGAAATTTGATTAGAATTAACCGTTCCCAAATGGCTCAAACATACACATGTACGTACGTAGTCTGTACACACATGTAAAAACATATTATATGTATAATTACAATTAATTTATCAAGATCCACAACGAAAGAATCGGTGAAATAATCTCTTCAGGTTCCAAAACTAAACAAAATGTTATTGTAATTGGTCATTGGCGTTCCAGATACATATGTAGATACATATGTACAGTATTTTATAAGCGGGAGGGAACTCCATTAAGTGTCAACAATCACTGACACAAACAAATAAATTTTAATAGACGTCTCTAGGTAACAAACGCAGCATTAACTCGCCCTAAATTGCAATTAGCGATTTTTGGTAATTGAAGGGTGAGCCTTTACTCAGAAAACAGAGCAAAGAACAATAAGATTGTTGAATCATTCAACCACAAGGACTTTGTGGTAGCGTAAAGCTTAGGCTTAAAACGACTCGTGGCAAATCTATCTATCTATCTATTAAGTGCCAAGATATGGCGTGAAACATTTGCATTTTTTCTAATATGAATAAACCATACTTTGGTTCAGGTGATAAGCACTACTCCAGGATACACGATAATAATTAAAGTAATTCAAATCTCAATATGTATGTATGTACATCCATATGCATAGTGCTGAGCGTTTGAAATAATCCGAAATTATACGGTTGCACTATTTTAATGGCTTTATAAATTTCGGAGAGGTTTTCAAGCAACGCACCTGTAGCTTATGTATGTGGAGTGCTCACGTACTCGGAAACCAGCAATGTAATTGCATCAATCATACATTTTGTTCAATTATGGTTATCGTTCGAAATATTTTCCATCAGGGCGTAACAAAGCGAATGTGAATGTTCTTAAATCAAAATTTATGGGTTGAGGTCGGTCATGCATCGTAAATACTGTTATCTACCTCTGAGTCCCCATTCTCAACCACAGACCGTACCGAAGTATGGCTTGTCCAGAGTAAGGCCAACATTCGGGTTTACTGTAAACACCATCGTTTAACAACCTAAATAAGGTATAAGATGTCTTAAAAAGGGCAAACGGCCGTACACACGTACGAAATCTTTATTTTCTCAGTTTGTGCGTCAGCGAAGCCTCAATGGCAATGGTACCTGCCATTTATTTTCGAAAAACTTTATAGGGCCTGAAAAGCCGACCTTTCATCGGCAGATGCCCCTTTCCCTTAATAAGGGAATTTGAACGGTATTCGGCAAATAAACTTCTCAAAACATCTGTAAAACTTTAATAAAATTTAAACCAAATTTAGCTCAACGCCAGCATAGCTTATGAAAATTATGACCCTGTGTCTCAGATTGAGTAATTACCTAAACCCTATTTAATTAATGCTAAAATGAGCCTTCCTGTGCAGTACTTAAATTTAAAACTTTTTCACAGATTTCAAGCATTTTCGCCACGGATAAGCGGATGTACATACATACATATGTACATATTTATCACCCAGCATTTGCTAAGTGTGTAGCGTCATTAAAAATATCTTTCCATGCATAGCAGAACTTAAGGGGCAGTTCAAGTACACATTCAAACTAAGAATCATTAAAATAATTTTAGTATTAAAAACTAATTGGAAAACTATTTTTAGATGCACATGGCTCGTAATAAGTCCAAAAAATGTATCGTTCTATTAAAAATGGTGTTGTTAAAAATATACACATATGTACATACTAATACATATATTAAAAATTCATATAAGTTATATCCCTATGGTATGGAGCAGGAAACCTATCTGTAAGTTTGTTGTTTATGCCGTGCATACTTACAGAGCTAGCTGAACCTGATGATGAGTCTATTGTAAAGTTAAGAAGGCTGCTAACGTAGATCTTGTACTTATAGTTGCTGTAAAATAAGTAAATAATCTCAAAGGAATTTGATACTGCGAAAAAAAAGGTTCACACAGAGGTTCCCAACAATATAAACAGTTGCCACAAATTCCATTTTTGTTTGGATAGGTTACATATATATATACATATGTATGTAAACATGAAGATTTATACATCCACATGTATGAATTTGAGCTTGAATAAATATTAAACGACAGATATATGTATGTACATACATTTGTATATATGTAAATACAAAGGTACATTAATAAAATCTCCGTCTGAAAGTAAGAGTATGAATGAAACCATGCTGTAATGTTTGTATTGGTTATGGGAGTGGAGTGCGGCAATCGATTGAAAATAAAGTCAATCTATGTTTTACACTTTTATGAATTTTTACCCTTTGGTTCGAAAAAGAAAAGGAAAAATACGAAGTTTTTGTATTCAGCATATTGTGATTTAATTATATTGTTTTCATTATCAAACCTATTTTTTAATGGAAAAACTATAAAAATGTTTTCAGATAAACAAAAGATTTTCGCTGTTTCATACCTGACTGAGTTTCATAGCTTTTTGTAAATGTACGTTCATGTGTATGTACGTATAAAATTTACGAGTAATTTAAAATGAGTATGCACATAAATAACGAGAACATATTTTTAGCGTTCGTTCTGCAAACAACTCTTTTTTGAGTTCCAAATTTTTAATAAACTTTTTACTTGGTCACTAGCAACAGTGTGAGCATACAGCAATCTGGATGCAAAATGAAGTGGCTCTAGCTTTATAGTATCTGAGATCCATTCGTTTAACAAGACGGACGGACAGACAGACAGTCCTAAATTGACTCGGCTATTGATGCTGATCAAGAATACATATACTTTGTGGGGTCGGAAAAGCTTCCTTCCGTGCGTTACAATTTTTACTCTTCGAGTACCGGGAATATGTTTTTAATAATATTCACCGCGAGCAAGGTAAACATTTAATCTATCGGCAATGACCCGGTATAGTATTGGGCTGGTGAAGATTTATATATCAGAATTTCTTAAGATCCGTGCGTTGTTTAAATAACAAAGCCTCAAAATGCCTTAACTATTAGACCGCTCAATATGATTAAAAATATTTTGGAAATTAAACATTTCAGTGAACCAGACCAATAGATACCACAGCAATATATGGTGAAAAAAATTATTTTTCAAGTCGTTTGTATCAATTTTCACAAAACTGTAAAACAAAACTGTTATAAGGGCCTGCGGTGTCGGGACAAAAGTTGGCACTCTGCAGTAACGTACAATCAATGGGATGCTCTTTATTTCACCGCTAAGAAGCGGATGCCACTCAACTCATGAATATTGATTGAAAGAACCTGCGTCGACCCTGGAGCCTTTTGTTGCGTAAAGTTTTTCGCTCGCCACGCTTTTTACTAGTAATTTGCAACCAACATAATTGGCTACATACATACATACATACATATTCATTATTATTTAGTCAAAATTTACCAATTGCCTCGGTTCACTTATAGGTTGTTTATTTACTTACATCTGCACAATTTTCCATAAGCTCGTTTATATACAAACATATGAACCGACATATTTAGCTGGAATGGTGCTGGTTCAATACGTTGTTAATTGTTAAGCTGAAACCCCTGATTCATAAACTATTAATTCAATTAATTTAACTCTAGAGTCCTTTAATAATTCTCAGAACTATTAGCATCCGCTTCACCAACGGAATTGCCAAAGATTGATCATCGAGAATTAAGAAACTTGAGCAATTGGAATGATATGGTCGGATTTCGAACTAAGGTGATGAGATATGAGATATAAAAGGTAAATTTAAAACTAATTTATGCATTTTTGTTATGTACATGTACGTATGTATATTTGCAATCTGTTTGTATTTCATAGCTTTGCTATTTCAAGGTATTTATGTTTTAAAATCCATATCTGGATTTATTTGCATATCGGCCTTGGCTTCAATTTGACCTAGATTAAATCTACTCCAATCCAAATGTGGTTCTGGACGAAAAATATTACATAGTTTGTAATGCATGTAATGCATTGTGAAAAATGATACATACACATGTACATATGTTACCTCGCAACTTTACGAACAATTATGTTGACTAATTTTATCAATACTGATATTCATAATTTCACGTATCCTTGCATTAAAGTTTTGGGATTGTATAAGCTTGTTTATTCAGTAAGATATCGTCATTAATTTTGTTGTTGCAATTAGCACTTGAAATTAAGTAAATAAACTTGAACTAGTCGTCAAACATAACTGTGGTGGATTTTATAAACCATTTTTAGAAGTTTTTCTAGAACATTTTCATTATCAGTTTGTGCAACACAAACTTATACTTTAGTAAGGTCCTGCGGGACTAATTTACTTAACAATAATTCGTTATACAATTTGTTTGAAATTAATTTACTATGTAGTTAAACATAGAACATACAGAGGACATACAAAACTTTCACCGGAATATATTATTTTGTATTTCAAAGGTGTTCCTTCTGAGATTTTCTAATAAGACCGGTCTAATTAAAGAGCATATACATATAACACAAATCAAGAAATACAGGAATATATGCATATTTAAAAATATATATAATTAATTTTAACTGCTACTTACAAAAATTTGACAGTAGTGGCTCTGCTATCACAATAGCCAGTGCCCTAAGAAGCTTTGGCTTTGCTTGGTCGTATCACCGCGAACGTTTGCACAGAACTCAACCGAACTGAATGAGCGCACATCCTTTAGCTGCCTTTGCTTTTATATCTAGAAGAACGCGCTGCGGCGAAGCAACAGTATCCCATCATGCTGGTGAGTGAGTGTGTGTATGCGGGTGGTGGTTAGTTTGTAGAGTAGAAGTGTGAGATAGCCCTATATATGGAAAGAGCTTCGCATCACCCCTCGTGTCGGCAGGTGACTTTTGCTGTATCAGTTTATGTATTGCGGTTGCTTTTGTTTTCGTTGGTTACAGCCAACTTAGGATAGACATGGACAGCAACATGTTGCTTTTGCAAGTGCAAAAAAGTATTATGTTAAGAGCTTTATCAAAGATCTTCTCAGGATAAAGTGTATATAAAAATGTAATTGAAAATATTCTTTATTCTCAGTATGTCCAATTGTAACGCAAAAAAAAAATGGTGCAGGTGTTGGATTTAATTCATTAAATGGTATTCGTATCTAATCTAAAATTTTGTCAGTTTAGGACGAAATAAATTTGGGAACACATAAATCTAATATGACACACTCAAGTACCAATTAGATATAAAACAACAACGAAACTCCATTTAGCCCATGCGTACTAATGCAATTGACAATAATTCCGCTTTGAAATATTCTTTGCCGGTAATAGCACATATGGTAAAATGATTTGGCGGAAAAATGCTGAGCGAACGTCTGTTTCGACCATTCCTTCATGAGCAACCATTACAATGTTTGTTGTGGACAACGTTATCGTAATAAATAAGTAGACAATCAACAGCCAAGCTCAGATTGAAATGTATATGTATGTATATATATAAATATATATGTATATGTACATATATCTGGACTGGTGTGTTCCTGCAAAAAAAAAAACTGTCTTCTAGAAGTCTAGAAGTCGAGATGAAGTCTATTTTTTGCGTTATCGTGAAACATAGACTTCGATCTTTCAATGATACTTCCTGTAGACGACAGCATTTTTTTCTTGCTTTATTAAAAATTCATTTTTTTTGCCTACATCTCATTTTTTACATTTTTATTATCGCTATTCGTTTTGATACCCGGTACTCGAAGAGTAAATAGGGTATATTGTATTTGTGCGAATAACGGTTTTATGAAACGCACAGAAGGAAACGTTTCCGACTGCTTAAAGTATATATATTCTAGATCAGCAGCAATAGCCGAGTCGATTGAGTCTGTCTGTTTTTCCGTCCGTCTCGTTGAGCGCCTGGATCTCAGAGAATATAAAAACTAAACCCACCCTGTCCCGCAGCTTTTGTTTTTTTTCACATTCTCTCATTCACACTCTTTTTCTGCATTGTGCGGCCTCTGCCTCTGGCGCGCCTCTGCCTCTGCCATGACTCTGCAGTGTGTGGCTCTATGGAAGGGCGGCGAGCTAAAGGGGCGTGTTAGCGTGAGAAGTGTTGTAGATGTAAATGACAGATGAAGAAAAAATTTAAAATTTGACAAAAAATCGCTAATGTACAGATGAGTGTACTGAGTGCCGGGGATAGAAGTTGTGACGCGTAATAAGCGTCTCACACGTCCCTTCTCGTTCTGATAGATTTCGGGAAAACATTTTTTAATTCATTTTTCTTTAACAATTTTTAAATCGAGGGACGCTGATACATGACTCCCGGGCGCGTTTTACCGAACCGGTCACGAACATGAATTGAAGATAGATGTTAATGTAATATTCGAGGAAAATTAGACCTAAACACAACCAAAACAACCTAACAACCAAAATTTGGTAGGCTAGTATAATCTCTTAAGAAGAGAAAAGGAAATAGTGGAGGATTTATTTTCCGATATTAAGACGCTATACATAAGGCATAATTCTATCTACAAAGTGGAAGAAACAAAGGAATAAAGTTTCTAGTGGGTCTAATGGGAATCGTAAAGTTTATGCGGCTCAACAAGTCAGGGATACTGCGCGTCCGACCACACGAAGGCAGGACTTGGACTTTAGGGCAAGGAAACAGCAACAAAATACAGTAGAACATATAGTTAGACGAACAGACGCGCAGATTAGAAACGAGGAGCAAGCGGCCGACACTGCGAGTCGGTCCAGACGAAGACAGGACTTGGACTATAGGGCAGGGGAACAGCAACAAAATACAGTAGAACATATAGTTAGACGAACAGACGCGCAGATTAGAAACGTGGGGCAAGCGGCCGATACTGCGCGTCGGACCACACGAAGGCAGGACTTGGACTTGGAGCAAGTCAGGGATGTCTTCATCCTCCTTAATCAAGTTGTGCATAAAAATTAAACAAAGAATTTTGCTGCGACTAACTAAGGATGGCAGTCTCACAGTTGCATCCCAGCTGAGGCCATGCAGGGCAAAAAGCTTTTCCGCACTGATTCATTACGGTCCTGATTTATGTTGTACTGAGGTCACCATTCAACAAGATCGTCAACCAAAGTAAATTCTCTTAAGAGAACTACCGCAGAGGTTGTAAGGAGCCAGTAATGGGCTGGAACGATAAATGTCATTACTTGCATTTCACATTTGCACAACACCATGACTGAAAGTTATTTAGATCTGTTTGCAAGCGAGAGGAACATTAAACCCTAGAAGGTCAAGCTTCTATGCAAGCAGAGAGTGGTTTACAGAATCGAATGCCTTACTGAAGTCAGTGTAAATAACATCCGCCTGCAAGTGATCTTGGAAGCCTTTGATGGTAAAGGTAAACTCTAAAAGATTATTATTAGGAGGTATAAGGGACTTGCAGAGATGTTGCAAGTGCGGAGTTACAATTTTCTCAAACATTTTAGGAATAGCGGATAACTTAGATACTACCTTTCTCATGCAGAGGAATTATAAAAGATTACTTACAGGTGGGCGGAAAGCATGACGACGGAAGGATAGAGTGCATAGTTTACATGAGTACCTGTGTACACAGCCGGTAACTCAGTCAGCCCGTTGAAAACTAACTTAACTAACTTAACTAATCGAAGATCATTAAGTAAGGAGCTTTCATTTAACAAAAGGCAGAAAATGCCATTCGACCTTGGTAAACTGTATGAAGAAATATGAATATGTATGTTATGAATAGTGAAATTTGACCGAGCTATTAAGTAACTAGAAAGAGAAGAAGGAGAACCAACTTCTTGAGATTTTGAAATAGTCTTCATTTTAGGTTCTTTAGACTTTATAACTCTTTGGTGAATTAAGGAGGCTTCCCAGATCTAATCGGACAAGAGAGTGGGACACTCGATTCGGGACGGACAGTCGGACTCATAACCTCTATATCGACCCGATGAATAATACGGTTTGTTTTTTCACATTGGTTAAATATCTTAGATCTGATTGTAAAAAACTTTGTTTTCGCAAACACTGTGTGGATTTTAGCTACCCTCTGGTAAATATTAAGCTTTGAAATTTAAAAATGTTTATTATTATGCGGTATTTTTTTTAAACGAAATTTCGATTTTAAAAACTCATCAAAAGTCGAACAAAAATAATATCCTGTGTGTTCGGAGCAGCAGAAAATACATAATTATTAAGATCAGATCGCCTTGTTTATATTTACACTCTTTTTATACTCTCTTATATTAATATGCCATTGTCGCGCTCATCGCTCCCTCTCACAGTGCATAGAAGCGCACGCATATGTATGCACCCTTCGTACTGCTTATATTGCAGTGCTTTGCCCTTTTCTTTTTCCAGTCTAAAATATTGTCGATCGCCGCGCATCTCCGAGCATTCCCATAATTTTCTATGTCCAACGCTAACCCGTTATTTTAATTGAGCCCTACATTTTTGTGAAGTTTAACGCACCAAATCGTAGTTCACGGCCACTCCCCCTATAAATTGTATAAATTCGTAAAATAACAAACAAATATATTAAAAACTAAATATGGATAATACTTGTCGTAAATGTGGAGTCAGAGTTGCCGAAAAAGCTCGGCAGATTCCAACAATACAAAATTGTACAAATTCTGTAAAAAATAGGTTTGAGTGTTATTTGCTTTAACAAAAATAGAAGAAAAACGAGAAGGGACGTGTGACGTCCCAACACTCTCCTTTAGCTCGCCCCCCTTCATTAGGCAGAGGCAGTGGCCGAACACTTGTGGCTATAATAATGATCCGATCGGATCCCAATTTGGTAATCTGATAGATATGGTCATTCCCTACGGAATGGCGTTTTTATACCCGGTACTCGAAGAGTAAATAGGGTATATTGTAATTGTGCACATAATTTGATGTATGTTAAACACAGAAGGAAACGTTTCCGACCCCATAAAGTATATATATTCTTGATTTGCATCAATAGCCGAGTCGATTGAGCCATGTGTTTCTGTCCGTCCGTCTGTCCGTCTTGTTGAGCGCCTGGATCTCAGAGACCATAAAAGCTAGAGCCACCCAATTTTCATCCAGACTTTTGTATGCTCACACTGTTACAAGTGTATTTAAAAAATGAGAACCGCCCCCTCCGCCCCCAGGGCGAAAACCTTCCAAACATACAATTTTGAAGATAAAAAAAAAACTAAAAACGCCATTCCGCAAGGAATGACTATATTTATCAGAACACCTAATTGGATCATTATTATAACCCACCCCGTCCCGCAGCTTATATTTGTTTGTTTTCTTCACATTCTCTCATTCACACTCTGCTTCTGCAGTGTGCGGTCTCTGCCTCTTTCGTTCCTCTACCTCTGCTTCTGCCGGGACTCTGCAGTGTGTGGCTCTAGGAAAGGGGGGCGAGCTAATGGAGCGTATTGGCTTGAGAAGTGTTGTAGATGTAGATGACAGATGAAGAAAATATGTAAAATTTGACAAAACACCGCTAAGGTGCAGATGTAGTACTGAGTGCCGGGTATAAAAGTTGTGACGCGTAAGAAGCGTCTCACACGTCCCTTCTCGTTTGTTTCGTATATATGGGGTCGTTTAAGGTATAATCTGTGATAATCCCAAACAATGCATCGGTACATACAAAAATATAGGACACAATATTTAATTTTTTTTCAATTTTTGCTAAAGTCAACATTTTTTTAAAGACATTTTTGAATTTGGATCCTTGTACTCTAACACGCGAGATATTCTTTTGATACAAAGTACCGTATATTTCGCACTGTATTAGTATGCCCAAGGTGGACATGCTATCTGGGTACACTGTTTTGGGTTTGTTTAAGCCTAGTACTCAGAACGAAAAACACTTTGGCTATCAAACAGTGCAATATATTTTGCTAGCAGCAAAGTGTGACCGGAGGTGAACCCCGCATTCCGTACGGTTACACTTCTCAGGAAGCCGTTTGGCTGTGTGAAAATTGAATAAAAGGTTAATTGATTGGTGGAGAAGGCCATGCCAAGGAATATTTGCGCCAGTGGCGAAGTTGTAAGACAGTTCTCTTGATTTAATCAGCCAGTTTTATTTCGTTCTGAGTACTGCCAGGCGCACAGCCGCTAGAAAGTAGGTCGAGCGCGCCTACATTTTATAACGGTTTCATACGAATATCATCCCTGATTTTTCTAGAGGCCCCTTTTTTTCGATACGAGTACTATGTTTAAGCGCTTAAGCCGGATTTTCAGCGAAGTGGCAGATACTGTTTCGGCATGGAGAACATTACAAATGAAATTGAATATAATTATAGAGTTGATTAACTTTTTGAAACTGATATGTTAGTTTTTTATACTCTTGTTCATCTTATGAATGGTTTTTGTACATTTTTACTCCTTATTGAGGTTTCAAATTTTCCGATAGTAACGATACTATCGGGGTTTTTCTATCGGTGTTCTATGATGCAACTATATAAGGTGGTTACGTCCATGAAGAAACTATATAAGGAGGTCTCGGCAAAAATAGCTGATCGTGCGAGTGAAAAGTGCGCGTCAAAGGGCTCTCGCTGCAAGTGTGAGGGCAATTACAATGGAGTGTGCTGATTAACCTTTTGAAGGCAATGTGAAAAAACATAATAATTGTTGCGTCGACAAGCAAACGATCACTGAAAATAAGCAGAAGCGACGAGTAACTCTGCCGCAGACGAGACATCCTGATATAGTTGCTTCATGGTTACGTCGGGACCATTAGAGTTCAGTGCGTGTTTGTTTGTTGAAATTGGGTGGAAGGTATATCGGTATATATAGGTATACTTTGACAATTGTTCGGTATATTACGGTATATGTGAGAAGGTAACACTTTCCACACATTTTCGAGACGAGTTCAAACAGATTTCAAAGAAAAATATAGACAGAAGTGGGAGCCTCTAAAAGACACCAAAATATTTCTATGCAGGATCAAAAATTCGATCGTTGCCTATTTATAGACGCAGTATCGACATTATGAGTAGAATTGCAACAATTTGACAACACGCTGCCCCACAAAAGCAATAAGAAAAAATAAAAAACTAAATTCAACCTTTTAAGACGATCTAAGATATTTTAATTTTTATTTTAAATTAAATTTTAAATAAATTTTTTATTTTTACTTTTCCATTAGCTTCTTGTTAGCTATGTTAATATAATCGTCTTTCTATTATAGATTGATTTGTCCTTGGAGGAAAAAACTTTTGCCGCGAAAGTAAGAAGAGCCGAATGAATGTAATAGCTCCTGCAGAAGAGCCCTACCACCGTCACGTGCAATGGGCTTATATTGTCCGCTTCAAACGCTTTCGTGTGAGAGAATGTTCTCTAAAGTGACTTAAACAAAAAGCAACATTAGAAATAGATTTACGAACACAAATGTATTCAATGTATTAAAATTATAATAGTATTATAATTATTATTATAATAGTATATAATATATATTCGAGAAAATCTAAGAGAAAAAACGTCTGTTAAAATTGTGAACCTGAAAAATAATTGCTTTTCCTAAATCTAAAATAAATTTTAAGTGATGACGAAAAAAATAGTGGGATTATAAAGGAAATTAAGGTTTTATAATATAATGACTAAGAAGAGAGTATACAAATGATTTCAAATAAAAGCGCGTATTTCTGTGCTCATAGTTAAAACGCAGATATGATGTTCTTGATGAATACGGTGGAGCGTCTGGCTGGAGAGAATTTCCCTGACCAGCTATATTTTGAATTAAAGCCTTGCTAAGCTTTTTTATTACCCGCAGATGTAAAGCTATCGGTGGTTTTGCAACTTGCAGAGACAGATAAGAGAGATAGAGGAGCTCCTTCAAATCAAACTAGTGTGATAATAAGGGAAACAAATGTTTTATAATATAAGAAAGGAGAGAAATCCTTAGATCGGAACTCAAAAATGATTCCGGGGTGGATATCAACCAATCACATTATTTTTATCAAAACGCTGATGTGATTTACCTTGCGAATCTGGAATTTTTAGTGACGTTTTCAGCTGTTGTTGACACCTAAGTTTTTGACACAAATGTCGCATCGAGAAAGCTCATTTGCTTACTGATGGGGTGATTTGAATGAAAAATGCAAATAAAATATAAGGTCATTAGGTATACAATCCAATACAAAGGAGTATTGATTGTATTGTATTGATTCTTCAATCGGATTAAATAATTGTTTCAGTGCTAAAAGTCTTTGCAAGCTAATAATATCAAATATAACATCCAAATCGAGGAATATCATTTTAGACGACGGTATATTTTGAAAATGCAAGGGTATATTTTGATATATTTCCGAGGGTCTGTCGGTATATTCTATCGATAACCGCGGTCAGACTGCATACATACAAACATAGATAGCATCATTTTGTAAGAATCGTATAAAAAAAAAAAACAATTTCTTTCCTATAAAATACAACCAAATGAGATTTAAAAATAAGTGAGTTTCTCAACTTAAATTAAAAAAAAACCGCAAATTGTAGTTAGTGGCTTTCTCTCAACCGGCGGCGCTAAAATAATTGTTAGACGAAGCACGCGTGCGTTGGCTAGGCATCGATTTTCCGCACAGCGTTTTAGAAATCAGAAACAGCAAAGGAGAAATCGGCCTTCTTAGCTGCTTAAAGAAGTCATTTTGTATTCTTAGCTTTGTAAGCATCGAAATAATTGATTATACAAAATGGGTGCTTACTTGTCGCATCCGAAGACGGAAAAGTCGTCCACGAATGAAGTGAACGACTTGCTGGCAGTAGGTTCTAGCTCGATGCAGGGCTGGCGCAACAGTCAAGAGGTAAGGGTGTGAGACAAACAAGTTCCAAGACACTAATAATTAATGATATTACAGGATGCGCACAATTCTATTTTAAATTTTGATATAAATACTTCATTTTTTGCTGTTTATGATGGTCATGGTGGAGCCGAGGTGGCCCAGTACTGTGCAGACAAATTGCCTGAGTTCCTTAAAAACCTAGATTCTTACAAAAAAGGTCAGTTCGTACAGGCTCTGAAAGATGCATTTTTGGGATTCGACAAAACATTGCTTGATCCACCAGTTGTAACCATACTAAAAATACTTGCCGGCGAACACAATTTTGTCGATGGTGAAGATGCCGAAGTGTACGAGGAAGATGAGGACGAAGATTTAGCTGAGTTACATGAGGAGAGCAACTTACCCTTAAACGAAGTACTAGAAAAATACAAAGGACTTCCACAAACACACGAATTGGTCAGACTAAAAACCGAAGTGGAGGAAAATTCAAAATTGCCAGCGCCTTGTTTGCGTGGTCGCCGCGCTGCAGCAGTGGCTGCCGAAGCTGCGAATAAGGCTGTAATGGATCCTACAGCTAAGCCAGAAGGCTCGTCCACCTCAGCTGCAGCAGCAGCTGCTTCTCTATCAGAGGTCCCCGGTCCAAGCCCCAGCCATTCCAAGGCAGCGAAACCTGAAGATGAATCAGCAGTGACAAGCAGTAGCAATTCCATCGCCAACCAGAGCATTACAGATTTAATAAACAGTGAAACTGACACTGATAAAACGAATGGGAGCGGCTCAACTTTAAAGTTTTCAACTGATCAGAATGGAAGTGTTAGTTCATCTAAGGTTTTAAAAGTAGTCGACACTGTACCCATAGAATCTGTAGTTTCTGGGTCTACGGACATCGGTGACGCGAATGACAATGGTAGTTTAGTCAGTTCAACAGGATCCAAACCTGACATCTCCGTAATTTCATCAACCAGCAAGGAATCTGAGAAAAATTCAAAGAAACTCAATGCTACACAAGACGATGAATCGACTGACGATGACGCAGACTACGATGAAAGTGCTATAATCGAGGAACCGGAAGTAGCAACTGCGGATAGCTCTGATGAAGAAATGGACGATGAGGCTGAAAACGAGGACGATGATGAAGATGACGTAAGTTCTCAAACATTTTATTTTACGTGAACCTAATTTAAAAATCCCCAGGACGACGAGATAAGCGATGAAGAGGAAGCAGATGAGGATCAGCTAGCCAATGATCAGTTTTGTGCGAATATGATTGAAGAGCCTGGAAAAGACAGTGGATGTACTGCTGTTGTCTGTTTATTGCATGGCCGTGATCTGTATGTGGCGAACGCAGGCGACTCAAGGTGTGTTATATCACGAAATGGTAAAACTATTGAAATGAGTCTCGACCACAAGCCTGAAGACGATGAGGAGGCCATGCGGATTGTTAAAGCAGGTGGACGTGTTACCCTTGATGGTCGTGTCAATGGTGGTCTTAATTTATCTCGAGCCCTTGGCGATCATGCCTACAAAACAAATTTGGAACTTCCAGCTGAGGCACAAATGATATCCGCCCTACCAGACGTAAAGAAATTAATAATTACGCCTACCGATGAGTTTATGGTGCTGGCATGCGATGGTATATGGAACTATATGTCTAGTGAAGAAGTCGTTGATTTTGTCCGACTGCGACTAAAAGATGAAAATAAGAAATTATCTAACATCTGCGAAGAGGTAACATGATTCAATATTTATACTGTAGTTGCATTATCAATAATACAATCTTTAAACTTAGCTTTTTGAGAACTGTTTGGCGCCAAATACTATGGGAGATGGAACTGGCTGTGATAACATGACCGCCGTAATTGTCAAGTTTCAGCCTAAACTTCAACAACTTCCGACTTATATTAATCCAGCCGAAACGGAAGATGTGTCATTTACCAGAAAGGAAAATGAACAATCTGCAGATGTAAAAAATGATAACATGCTCAAACGGAGTGCTTCGCCAGATAACGCACCAGAAGCTGATCTGGATAAAACAACCAATAAATCAAAGCGTTTAAAGACTGAAAGTGAACCAGAATTGGTAGACTCTCCCGCGGACAAAGTAAGTGGCCCAACATCAATCGTAGAACAGAAGGAATGCCTCAGCGTCAAAGCAGACACCGAATCTAATGTCGTCTCATCGTCTTAAAAACTATTATTGGATTCAAGCAGTAGAAAGTGCACGACTACTATGATTATAAATAAAACATTTACTTATAAATTTTTTTCATTCAAACCAAAGCTCTTAGAGTTTGAGCTAAATACCAATTGAGAAAAAACATTTAAAGATCCTCAACTGCAGGCGTATGCCAAGAAATTTATATTTGTACACATCCATACATGTAGTTTACTTATATTTGAAGATCAACCATGTACATTTTTTTGTTTTCTGCAACTTAACATTATACGCAATTATTAATTTCCCTAAAATGAAAAATTCAATATTGATTTATATCCATAAATATATTCATAAAAACAAATTTATTTCCTTTTTCTTTCTTTTGTTGTTGGATCATGATCTGCCTACTAATAAAAGTTCATAAGTACACATATTTGTATGCCATCTTTCGCAGGAACAAGAAGTGGGCTGTTGTTAAAATTCAATAATAAAGGCGAATTGAATCTAGTTTGATTAATGGCTTAAACTCCGATACTTTCTGCAATACAGCTAAATCAGAGCTCGGCACGGCCCAGGGGAAAGGCTATGTATGTCGAAATGCTGCAGCTCATGTACACGTGTATTACGGCTCAAACGATTCTTACGTTGCATATAAGGTATGCCTGCGAATCGGTTGTAACTACTGTTAAATTCCATATAACCACTCGTTAGCTGTTTAATGCTGCTGCTTTCAGTTGCTGTCAGTTTTTGACATAAAATTATATTCGTCTGTAGATTGTACTTATTTCATTTTAAAGTGTTTTTATTTGTTTGATCCAAGATCCAAGGTCCCTGTTGCACCGTCGAACAGAAAGGGCATATGTAAGTAGTTATAATTGGTAGTTATATAAGTACTTAGAAAGGGAGCAATTATGAAGTTTTTGGTCTATATATGTTTAACTTGGTACTAGGAAAGTAACTTGTTTTATATTTTTTTATTTCGATTATCAGTTTCTAAGATATATTATAAGGGGAAGCTATGAAGTAATAATTTAAGTTCGCGGCCCACAGTAGCCAACAGCAGAGCAGAGCAAAGAGAACGGCGACGCGAGCCAACATACGGTATCGTTATCAGTCGGGAGATGGGGGGGGGGGGGGGAAGGATCCGCTGCTCTATCCGCTCGTCTATATACATAAAGTTATTAAAATTCGCGTGCGATGAACAAGTCGGTTTATGAAACAATAGTGAAAAGAAACAGACAGAACAGAGACAAAACTCCTAGCTTCCAGACTTTTATTTTGTGGCGCAAGATGGAAATGCGGCCACGAATGCCCTCCCTTCCATGATCGCTATAATCCGATAAAGTTATACGGCGATCCCAAAAAAAGGTCTATGCCGCAATACCTCTGCCTACGTTCCCTACACGACGCATGACCCCCTCAAGTTAAGCGCACTTAGCAGGAGTTCATATTAACGCTTATAGCTAAATTTATTCAACATCGCAAAACACATCCAAAAGTATCGATTTTACACTAGATTTTGAAACAACTCATGTCGATTTACCCAAATGTAAAAAAAGGAAAATAATATAAAGTAGGAAAGAAAATTATAAAAATATATCAAGGAAAAGGTAAATGTATGTATGAATATAATAGGTGAAATGTAACATTAAATTAAGATACGATTATTGAATATGGAATATAAATGAATGGGACTAAAAACCGCCGTTCTCTTTCGTAGTGACCAGACGTGTTTTTGTTTTGCGCTGCGTAATTTCCTTTATATTTTGGATAAACACCGGGTTTTTTTCGAAATAATTCTTCTATAATTATTGAATAGCTTGCCGCTTTTCTTAACTATCCTAATACGCGAGTGCATGCCTATTATTTTGTTTAAAATTAAAATCGTATTCATTTGTGCGTCGGTTAGTTGTGTGTTTGTACTTTTTCTTGTTGTAAGTACGCCCTCACTATTAACCTCTCTCTCTCTTGTAGTTGCGCTTCTGTCTTTCACTCTATAGTTCGAGTAACTGTTCTCCCTCTCTCGCTCTCAATACTTTCTGTGCAGTGGCGTGCGCTCACTGCTTTAGCTGCCGCTGCGCTTGTTCTTCTCTCCTCTCTGCGCTCATCTGTTTTCGATCCCGCTTTAAACATTTCTTTAAGCAATTGGTCGGCACACTGGTCCCATTGCTATTTGTTTTGTGAAAATAATATTTATTTGTTTTATTTATTTATATATTCAAAATAAATAATAAAATAATGGAATACTTGGTTGTGTGCTCCGCTAAGGCTTGCAAAAAGCAGATCACCCACGACCAGCCGATCATCCCTTGCTGGCTCTGCGATAACGTAGTGCACGCAAAATGTATTGGGTTCTCAGGCCTCGTGGGTGACACAATTTCGAAGCGTAATGGTCTGCATTACAGTTGCGAGGCATGTCGGTCTATCGAGAGTGACATGGTCACGTTTATAAGGCAGACGCGAAAGGGCTTTAAAAAGCAGTACGATCGGCTTCTAGCCATGGAATCTCAATTCAGCAGTTTTAAAGTGCTGAATGAGTCTCCTAGGCGCAAAAAAGTCACTTCTCGTGATCTGCAAGTGCCCGTCCCTCGACCGCTCGCTGCTGATCAACTATCTCCGTCCACTCCGATAGTGCAGCAGCTAATTTCGTTCGCTACTCCAAGGGCAACGACAACTGCTGGTGATCAAGTTTCGGCTACCGAATCGATCATCTCGGAGAACATGCAGCCAGTTAGTACTGTAGCGTCCGTGTCTGTCGAGTCCGTTCCAAAGCCCATCCCATCTATTTCGATCCCACCAGTTAATAAACGTCCCGGACCACCGGATATTGCCGTCACAGGTACCAGATCTGTGGTGCCAAAACCTCTGGTGGGAGTCCCACCAAAGCGGCAAGTTTTTGTCTCTCGGCTTGCCCCTGACCTCACATCTAATGATGAAACTGCTTTTATACAAAGCAAAATAAAAGCCGTTGGCTTAAAGGTGGATAAGTTTAATTTCTCTTATGCCAGGGAGATATCCTCTTTCAAGATTAGCGTGTCTCTAACTCATTTCGAGACCATTTGCTCTTCCAAATTTTGGCCAGAGCACCTAGTTATGAAAGAGTTTAAGGCTAAGAAGAAAAATAGGCCCCCCATAACTCTTCCTAGTAGTGAGGCCAGTGGTCCTTCCTCCTCCGCTCCATTCTCCTCTTCCCACTGCAATTCCTTGCAGTCAAAAAACTAACCTCCCTCTTTGTAGCCTATCAAAATGCTCGCGGCTTACGTAGTAAGCTGAGCACTCTTTTTATGGATAGTTTCACATTGTCATCCCATGTTATTGTGTTTACCGAAACCTGGTTAAAGCCGGACATTCTTAGTTCCGAAGTTTTGGCAGATCGGTACACAATTTATAGGAATGATCGTTCGTCTCGACGTGGAGAAGGGGTTCTGATTGCAGTAAACTCTTACTTTACGTCGGAACTTTTCATAGTCCAGGTCTCACAAGACCTGGAATTCCTCTGTGTTAGACTGATTCTTCCCGGCCAGTCTATTTATGTCACTTGCTCGTATATTCCACCGTCTTCGGATGTACTAATATACGAGCAGCATTTGTCTGCCTTAAAAACTGTTTCTTCCTCGCTATCAGATAAAGACCATTTAATAGTTCTTGGGGATTTCAACCTGCCAGGTACTGTCTGGTCTTCGGTTAACGAGTCAAACAACCTTGTGCCCATGTCACGACATGAGTTTATTGATGGCTTATTAGACCTGTCCCTGTCTCAAGTCAACCATGTAAAAAACTCCTTGGGTCGATTGCTTGATCTGTGCTTTGTCTCGGATCCGACCGTAGCGTTGTTAACACGAGCACTCCCGCTCACTATACCTNCCTCTTCCCACTGCAATTCCTTGCAGTCAAAAAACTAACATCCCTCTTTGTAGCCTATCAAAATGCTCGCGGCTTACGTAGTAAGCTGAGCACTCTTTTTATGGATAGTTTCACATTTTCATCCCATGTTATTGTGTTTACCGAGCCGCGGTTAAAGCCGAACATTCATAGTTACGACGTTTTGGCAGATCGGTACACTATTAATAGGAATGATCGTTCGTCTCGACGTGGAGGAGGGGTTCTGATTGCAGTAAACTCTAACTTTACGTCGGAACTTTTCATAGTCCAGGTCTCACAAGACCTGGAATTCCTCTGTGTTAGACTGATTCTTCCCGGCCAGTCTATTTATGTCACTTGCTCGTATATTCCACCGTCTTCGGATGTACTAATATACGAGCAGCATTTGTCTGCCTTAAAAACTGTTTCTTCCTCGCTATCAGATAAAGACCATTTAATAGTTCTTGGGGATTTCAACCTGCCAGGTACTGTCTGGTCTTCGGTTAACGAGTCAAACAACCTTGTGCCCCTGTCACGACATGAGTTTATTGATGGCTTATTAGACCTCTCCCTGTCTCAAGTCAACCATGTAAAAAACTCCTTGGGTCGATTGCTTGATCTGTGCTTTGTCTCGGATCCGACAGTAGCGTTGTTAACACGAGCACTCCCGCTCACTATACCTGAAGACTGCTATCATCCTACTTTCGAAGTGTCGATAGATATTGGACCTACTGTATCGGATCGTGCGGGTAGGCTATCTGAACGCGTCCGCTGCTTTCGTAAAGCCGAGTTTACGAAGCTCAATAACTTAATTCGAAATTTTGATTGGTCCGCTCTGCACTTGTGCAGTGACGTCATTGAAGGCACAAACATTTTTTACAATGTACTTGACACAATTTTTGACACGTGTGTCCCACTTTCATGTCCGACTAGATCTGCGAAACCTCCTTGGTTCACCAAAGAGTTATCCAGTCTAAAAAATCTAAAATCAAGACTATTTAAAAAATCTCAAGAAGTTGGTTCTCCCTCTTCTCTTTCTAATTACTTAATAGCTCGGTCAAATTTCACTATTCTTAATGCTCAATGCTATAGGAACTACCTCCTTCGATGCAGGATACGTTTTCCACAGGACCCTAAACAGTTTTACAGCTTTGTAAACAGTAAGCGTAGAACGTCCGCACATCCATCCTCGCTATCATTTTTGAATATGTCGGCAAACAATGATCAGGCAATCGCCGATCTTTTTGCAACATTTTTTCAAACAACTTATTCCCAGCAAAGCTACCCAGGTCATATGTATCCATATAGTTTACCAAGGTCGAATGGCA